TTTTTTTTGGTCAATTTCGGCATTGATTTTTTGTTTTTGTTTTGTTTTGTTTTTTTTTTCTTTTGCGAGAGAACAATGAGAAATCAATGATTCGTTTTCCATCATCTTTTTTTTGATCATAACATATTCAAATTATTTTAGTAAAAAATCACGATCATGATGATTAATTAAATTAATCGTTATTATAATATTATTATTATTATTATTATTATTTTTCTATTATTCTTCTTTTTTTTCGGTGTATGTTTAAAAATTTGTAAAATGTGCGTTTTTATTTGTGCATCTATGAGAAGGACATCAATTTAGATCATTATAAAAGGTTATGTTTTTCTTTTTGTTCAATCATAAAAATATACGTCAATAAAATCAATCACTTTTAAAGAATATGAAATACACATACAAATACACTATTAAGTTTGGTAACACATACTTTGATAATAAATTTGTATTACATTTATGTACAAACTATCGACTCCATTTTGATTATACAAGTGAAACACTTTAGAACACATTTAATTCTTTATCAAATTTTTCTATTACAGAGTAGTTAATATTTTGAATTTAATTGTTTTCATTATGCAAAACAAGTATTTTTCTTTTTAATCAGTTAAGCGTGTTTGACGACTATATCCGTCATGGAGATGTTGGCAAAATTTTACTGTTATGACGTATATATCCGTCATGCGTAAAAGTTTCTTACCATTTCTCTAAAATTTATTTTTCTAAAATATAAAATCGTCTTTTTGATAATTCAATATTTTAACAGTTCGACTTATTCTGCGTTTGACGACTATATCCGACATCGCTTGATTATCGCGACACACACCAGAGTGCACCTCTGTGCACAGATCGCCATACTTAACTGATTAATTATATACAATAAAATAAAGCATTTGATAAAAGATCATTTTAAAATAATTTAATATTTGATGTAGGAGTATGTGTATCCAAACTTTTAGGGTGTAGTGTACACATAATTATACCAGAACAAAATTTAAAATTAATTTAAATAAAAAAAAAAAAAAAAAAAAATAGAGAAACAAAAATGTAGAAGATAAGGAACAAAGGAAAAGAGATAATGTTGACGTGTTTGATAACAACTTTGTTAAAATAGATAAGAAATGAAACGTTGAACGATTTTTTTTTTTTTCCTTTATCCTTAAATAGTTTAAACTGCGAATAATTTCTAATAGAATTGGCAGTTGCCATAAATAAGAAAATGATGTCTTTCAAATTGATGTCTTTGAGCTCTTCGTAGATATACTTTCACTTTTCAATCGTGTCTAATTTAATCCTCTTATAAATACATATACATATACATATACATATACATACACATACACATATATATATATATATTAAAATATTTCATCAGTTTAAATACAAAGTATACATATTTTCTTTTTATTCTTGTTTATAATTTTTCATTAATTTCATTTATTTGTTATTATATTAATTTTTGTTTTTTTTTTTTGAGTAAATATTAATTCAAGGGAACCATTTTATTTTAAAGAACGGTTATGTCGGAATCATTTACGGTTGTGTTACATTAGTTTAATCAGAAGAAATAAATTTATCCTCCATGTTTTTGTTTTGTTTTGTTTCATCCAATTTAAATTCTAATATTTATTTATATATATGTATATGTATATGTATTTATATTGTAATATTCTCTCAGTTCAATAATTGATAGGACGTGATATAATAAACATGGAAATTATTCCGTGATTCTGATCAAATACAACAAATTGTACACGTATAATACAACACACGTATACAGTCTCGTTTAATCTCACTCTCTCGCTTTCTCTTTCTCTTTCTCTTCTTCTTCTTTTTCTTTTTTCTTTCTCTCATCATCCATTGAACTATTTAAAAATAAGCGTACAAATAATTCTGACAAATGTTACTCTGATTTTTAGTAATTATAATCGATAGATTAGAATGCTTATTCAAAAGAACAAAACAATTATTTCATTTAAAAAAAATAATAATAAAAATGAACGATCAGGAACGGACATATTTGAACGGACATATTTGTAAGATTCCACAAAAAATGTTTTCTCGTGTGTGTTTTTTGTTTTGTTTCTTTCATTTCTTTCAAGTTGTTGTTGTTGTCTTTAATTCGTTTTTTGAGTCAGGAACAACGATTTTTGAACGGACATATTTGTTTAGTTAGAGAACACACAAATTGTTTTTCTCTCGTGTGTTTTTTTTTTTTTTTGGTTTTAATGATCGATCCTTTCATCAAGGGATCTCAGAAATTTGTCTTCCATTTGAACGAAGAGGAGGTATTTTGTTAAAAAGGATATATTCTTCTTCTTCTTCTTCTTCTTTTTCTTCTTTTACTACTAGTTCTTGTTCTTGTTCTTCTTCTTCTTTTAAAAGGAGATAGAAATCTAATCTTCCTTTTTTTCTTTATCCTTATATCCTTGAATCCCTTATTCAGAGAAGCTTTGGACAACATCTCGAAGTACGTCGTCTTCGACCACGACGACAACGATAAGAAGGTGATGCCGATTGATTTACGCTACAGGCGTTAATCCTGAGTCAGCTGACCGACATCTCGGAGCTCTGACTTTGAGACAGCTCCAACAAATGGCACTCGGATAACGGTATCTCTTTTGTACGTGCACTCTGCTTCTCCTGAATAACAATAACAATAATAATAATAAGAAGAAGAAGAAGAAAAAGAAAAAGAAGATCATTTATTAATTAATTTAATAGCTCGACACTAATGACGAGGAAAATAATGAAATATTATCATTCCATATATATTTTATAATTATTTACATAATTATGATTATACTAATCGTATATTACTTTATTTCTTGTGCAATATTTTATTCATAAAGATGATAGGATATTAAATGTTTTTATTACTATTTTGTTGTTGTTGTTGTTGTTGTTTCAAATTAATTAATTTAATTGATGGTAAACTTTGATATTTAGATTTATAAGATATACGTTGGTTTAACTTTATATTTAAAAATTTATAATATTAATTAATTATTATAATTTTAATATTATATTTATATTATTTAGTTATATATAATATTATATATCATTAATATATAATATTTATATAATAATATTTAAATTAAATTATTATAATTTATTTGATATTTTTTTGTCACACACATTGATTCACCTTTATAATTAAAAATTGAATATTAATTAATTAATGTAATTAATATTATATCTATATTATTTAATTATATATAATTTATTTAACATTTGATTAACAAGTTACTTAATTAATTAATATAATTCCTTTTTGTTATTTTTCAGTATAGAATTCTTTGTTTATTAAAATCTGAGTCATTGTGCAAATGATAATTAGGATATAAATATGGAAATTAAATGAACGAATGATGATTGATTATTATTATTGTTCTTATTATTGTTATAATTATTTAATGTTATATATACCTTTCTACGGAATGGAAAACAGCCTCTGTTCTCGTTGTTCTGTGGTGGATAATTTATCAATAAGTCTGGAGTAGGCGTGTTGTTAGGACCTAGTACATTGAGTTCCTTAAAACACTCAGTCTCTATCATCTGCAAGAATCAAAATTTATCATTGATAAAGACTTTTGGTCTTTTTCCTTACGACCAATGAATACTAACACACAAATGTTCTTTAACTGACGTGTGTCGTTAGTTAAATGTAGGAGAGTCAAAGGTTTGGCATTTTTATTGGTAAAGGTCAAAGGTAATCAACCGTAAGAGTTTCTTCTTCTTCTTCTTCTTCTTTTTCTTTCAACACAACTTTCTTATATTAATCAGTCTCAATATCGTAAAAGAACAATACAACTATTTATATGTGTGTATACGTTTGTATGTATGTATGTATGTATGTGTATACATTGTTTGAACTGTTTTACGAGACTTACCTCATTTTGCCAAGGAATGGATACGCTTCCCGTGTTAAATTTACTGTAAAAGGTGTCGTCTGTCGCATCGAGATTAACACCTTTCACTGTAGAGAATTGCTCGATGTCTAGGACGTCTTTAGCATATACAGCGTGTGGCTGAAATCAAATTATTTATTAGGATAAAAACAATAACAAAAAAGAGAATACACCTTTCAATAAAATAATAATATAAAAATATATAAATATTGGGTTGGGACAACTAAGTGTCATTGCAAATTTTAAAAATTTGCAATCACTTAGTTGCCAACCCAATAAAAAAAATTGTATAATTTGATGTATCAAATATACAAAAAAACTATTGAAGATGTAAGGAATAGAAATAAAGATAGAAATAGTAATAGAGAGAGAGAGAGAGAAAGACAATCTATCACGACACCTACTCACATCCGGCACAAATGGCGGTTCCCACATACCAGCCTCGACCCTTTTCCAGTTCAAGCACTGAAAGAAACTATGAAGTTTGACCTCCTTCGCCCCGTGTCTGCCGCACTTGCAGCCCAATCTGTTTTTCGGGCTCTTTTTGAGTAACTGTTGGCAAAGGCTTTTAGCTTCCTCGGTGAATTTGGATGAATACCTTTCTTGATCTTCCTTAACCCTTCTGTCAACTTCCTCACGTTTAACTTTTTCTTTTCTAGCTCTGAATGGTGCTTGACCCTCGATCATTTCGTAAAGAAGACAACCGAAACTGAACCAGTCAGGTGAAAATGTATATTTCTCGTTGTCGATAACCTCAGGTGCCATGTAACCAACAGTTCCAACTCTACCACGTACCATATCACCCTCAGTAATCTCAACAGCTAATCCAAGGTCAGATATCCTAACGTGGCCATGATCGTCCAATAAAATATTCTCCGGTTTACAATCTCTATAAACAATACCTTGAAGATGCAAATGTTCCAAACCGCATACCACTTCAGCGGCATAAAATCTAGCCCGATTAATATCAAAACCAGGTTCACCACCCATATTATATATATGAAACTTTAAATCACCCCCATTCATAATGGTCAATACCAGGCATAAAGCATCCTTCGTTTCGTATGCATAAGCTAACGAGACCACAAACTTAGAGTTTATCTTCTGTAGTATATTCTTTTCAATCAGTACCATTGCTTCTCCCTTTCTCTTCTTTATCCTTTTCTTCTCGAGTTTCTTACAGGCATACATTTTACCGGTTGCTCTGACCTGGCAAGCACATACTTCACCAAAACCACCTTTACCGAGGACTCTATACATACGGAACGTTTTGTATGTTACTGGTTGTGCCTCCAACCATTTCCATTGGAGATACCTGTAATTATATTCATCATCTAATCATCTTGCAATAGATATGTTTATGTTTATTAGTAATCTTTTTTTATTTTTATTATTATTATTTTTGTTTAGTTTTTGTATTGTAAATTTATACGTATATATATTAGGTTATATATATACCCTAAAATAACAATTACCCTAATTAGGGTAATTGTTATTTTTTTAATGTAATTAACATAATTACCACAATTCCATATTTTTTAATCAAATAACGACCACCCCCTTTTGGGGTATATGTAATCATTGAAGTATAATGTTAAAAATGTGTAATCATTGAAATATAATAATTGATAAAATTGTACCTGTAAAAATAGATAGTGGTTTGAAATGCTGAGAATGGTTCACCAGCTAGAAAATTTTTGACAGTTTGTGCAATCTCAACGAACAATTCTTTTCCACCTGAGCACAATCTTTCTTCACATTGGGATATCAAAGAATCGTTCAATATGTCTACGACCTCAGAACCTTCTCTTGTAAGATATTGTTCAAATAATTCTTTGGCTAATTCCATACGATTTTCGTCCATCTCTATTTCGTATTTTTCAATTGAATCCAGGAAAAGATTGTATCGGTGATAGGCCGGTTTTTTATCTTGGCAATATTGCCTGAAGAGTAGTCTTCCAATTGGTTGTTGATCCACCACATAACCGTACCTAATATCTATACAATAATTAAACAAACAAAAAAAAAACAAAAAACAAAAATTGTATTCGAAGAATAATAATTGATGATTTATTTTTTTTATTTTAAGTATAGTTTTTTTTTTTTTTTTCAGATTTCTATTAACCAGTTAAGTGCGTACGACGTGTATACACGTCGTTGCTTGTTTTTAATTCCACAGCCTGTGATGATCTTTTTTGAAACTAAATTCCACAGTCAACTGGTTAATATTCTTAATTATCATTTGATAAATAATAATCAAGATTTATTTATTTATATCGACAATCATTCGTATTCGCAGTTTTTTATTTACGTATTATCGATTTGTAGTGAAATGTGTGCGTTGCGTGTTTTTTTGTATTTTTTTTTTTTTTTTTTTATAAAGTTTCATGAGTGAAAGAAAAAATCACGCGTCACGCGTGTTTAGAATTTCATTTTAAAGTTATCGGTAGTTTACAATTCGTAGAATGTAATCAAACCAGGAAGAGACTTTCAACGTTAACAATTATTGCAATTTCATGTTAGCGATTTCGTTTGAAGAGAAATTTTTATAGAAAAAAAAGGAAATAGACATGCAAGGAAAATTATCCACCCATGAAATACTATAGTTCAATGAGAAAGTTATATAGAATAATATAATTAGTATAAATATTAGGTCGAGTCATAAGTAACTTCCAATGCGTCTATGTAAAATCTATTTTTCGTATTTATCTATTACTAGGGGTGCCCCGTTAGTCCGATACACACGTCTTTAAATTAACGAATTACCTTATACCCCCATCTGTTAGAATCTTATCGAACTAACAGAGATAATCATGACTCTTTGTTAATAAACAAATAATTCGCAATAAAATAATATKGYRATKATAAATTAAGATATAAACTATCCTATCTTTCAAGTTGGATGATACTGCACACAGTGTGCAAAATTTGATTAAAATCAGTTCAGTTGTTTAGGAGTCCATTGCGAACAAACAACGTGACACGTAATTTATATACGGATTTTCGATATCACTATATAGATGAGAATTCAGTTAGTCTTCTGTTAACTTTTTTATGCAGTCAATGTTACATTTAACCATTTTTCTTAACCACTGAAATGGATAATAGTAAAAAGTGCATATTCGACATGTAATGCTTTAAGGAATTGAAACAAGGCAATAGCACTAAAGTGGCAACTGAAAAAATATACAGCGTATACGGTGCAGGATTGATAACTGATAGAGCAGTCAGAAATTGGTTTGTCAAATTCCGTTCTGGAGATATGATTCTTCAAAGATGAACCGAGTGTGCAGGACGTATTTCCGACTTTGATGAACCTTTTAAAGGTAATATTGGAACAAAATCTAATAGATACGTTGAACAATTGCAAAGAGTGCCAAAAAAAGAAAAAAACTCCATGAAAGGTGTCTTGCATTTATCAGTCGCAGAAACGCCACACATTCTTTGTCTCACATAAAAAAAAACGGAAGTTATTTATGACTCTATCTAATATATCTAATTAAATATAAATTTTGATATTTATTTATCTATGTGTAGTTGGTATTATTGTAATACTATATTTTTACTGATATTATAATCTTGATTTTTTTAGAGCAAATAAATTTGAATGATACTTTGCAAAGTACATCCGCGTAGAGGAAGAAGGAGGAGGAGGAGGAGGAGGAGGAGGAGGAGAAGGAAGAGGAAGGAGGAAGAGGAGGAAGGAGGAAGAAGAGGAGGAGGTCGTAAAGATTCAATAATCTCAGGTCGAGGTCAATGAGGGGTCACACGTTGATTAACCAAGAGACACATCGATGAAAGAAGGGGGAAGTATATTTTATCAAATGTTAAGAGTTAAAGTATGAGAAAGAAAAAAAAAAAACTATGTAAAACGTAGGGTGTTCTACTATCTTATTCATTTTTATTTTTTAATTTTTTTTTTTTTAATAATTTCAAATTGTTGACTTGTTAATAGTTTATGCATCACAATGAAATATATATATATATAATAAAAAAAGACACATTTGATTGAATAAAACATTAACATACCTAATTTATCTTTTAGGCCAATGCACTGGGAAATGTGTGGGAACTGAAGTATCTTCCGCCATTTCTTACTCTTCCCTTTGTTGCTGTCACCACCACCTTGAAATATAAAGAAAACAAAACACAGGTAAACGATGACGAATTAATTTTAAATAATTAAATACACACTAACAAGAAAAAATACAAAAGAATAACTAACAATAATAACTAATTAATTATCAAATTGAAATATTGGAGGTTAGGAGTAAAACGTATAATAATAATAATAATAATAATAATAATAATGATAAAAATGGTATCTTTTTTATATATAATATATTTATTAAATATTAAATATTAAATATAGTATATGTATATATAAATATATTAATTAATATTATAATAAATTTCATTAATTATATAATATAATTTAATTATGTTATAATTAATTTCATTAATTATTTGTTTTCACACAAACACAAAAAATACAAATTGAAAGGATAGACAAATAAAATAATGAAATAAACAAATTAATTAAAAGAAAGAAAAGAGAAAGGATAAAATTTAATTCAAAAGTTTTTCGAACAAGTAATTAATACGAAATATTACTATTACTATTATTATTATTATTATTATTATTATTATTATTCGAACAAATATAAAGTTATATTAGAAAGATCTTGTGTGAAATCGAATATTATAATAACAGATAATTATAATAATCGACAAACTAATCGGAATAGTATTATTGACGTTTGTGAAACGTCAATGGTGTGGTGGTTGAGGTGTGACCACGAGGTCTCATCTGGGAAGGCCATAATTACTTGTTTCGTAATTAGTGCAATGTGAAAATAACTATGAATATATAGTAGTATAAAGTTATATCAATAAATTGTATTTTATTCTAAACATATATAATATTATTTATAATATTATTATATGTTCTTTTCTTTTTCTTATACTTCAATATGTTTTTTTAAATTTGTAAGAACATCTACAGAAATCAAATTAGTAATTTAATAACATTGATATTGATTTTTATTATTATTATTATTTTTTTAATTTTTTTTTATTAATATTTCTTTTTTGTTCTTGTTTTTTTTTACTTTATGGATAATTTAAGAAATTGTTGTCAATAAAACATATTATTATCTATATATATATATATAATTGTTATAAATTAGTTTATGTTAGTTTGCTTCTTATAATTGAAAATTTTATTACAATAACGATGAAGTTAATTTTGTAATCCAATATTTGATAAAGTAGCTGATCAAAGTTTATCTTTGTAAAGTTCTATCTCTCATCAACATATATATATATATATATATATATATATAGTTTGCTGAATTATTTTACTTTAAAAGGTGTTTCTTGAAAAAAAAAAAAAAAAAACAAAAACAAAAATGTATCCTACGATTAATCATATATTATTGTAATATTATACAGGTATTATATAATAATTTTATATTTAATACAAAATATGTTAAAAGAAGTTGTTAAACAATTTTTTGATTGATTTTTTGATTACATGAAAAACCAAAAAAATTGCAGAATGATAAATTAATTGTTTAAATTACCCAAGAAATTAAAACACCCTCCTTAACTGTATATATTATGATTGACTTGCAAGAAAAAAAAAAAAAAATGATGAAAAAAATTACTGACGAATCTTCACGTGACTTGAAAATTCATACTAATGCATAGAAAGTTTTCTATGTGTATTAATGTAAGTTTATTTATCTTTGCAATTAATCTAAATGGTTGTGAATAGGTAAATTGTAAAAAGGTATGTTTCTCACGTTAAATTAAATTAGAAAATGAAAATGAATCAAATTGCAATATATATAAGTTTTCATATTCTATTCTCAAAATAAATGAATTTATAGAATATATAATATATAATATATAGTATTTTTTTTTTGTAAAAGCAAGCTTTTACTATATAGATATATTTTACATTAACACTAGATTGCCCGAGATTTCTTGTATAGCTATATTGCCCAAAAACAGTCAAAATGACTGCATTGTGAAAAAATAACTAATGTGTAAACAAATTTGTTTAAAATTAATTTTTAATATTTCTTATATTATTTACAGTTATACAACAAGTTATTAGTAAATATTAACAATATTAATTAATTAATTATTATTAATTCTAAGAAATTGTGTCATTATATACATAATTGTTTTTCTAATTGAAAATAAAAAACAGTCAAAATGACTGCCTTGGGCAATCTAGTGTTAAACAAAAAATAATAAATTTACATTAAAAACAAAAATATAATAAATAGTTAAAATAAATAAAATATACATATATTTATATTATAATTTTGTATATAATATATATACATATATATATATATATATATATATATATACATATATATATATATATATAAAATGTATAAAATATAATATATATTAATTAATATATATTAATATAATAATTAATATAAATTAATATATATATTGTATTGTATAAAATATAATATATNTAATTAATATATATTAATATAATAATTAATATAAATTAATATATATATATTGTATTGTATAAAATATAATATATATATTATATATAAATATTGTGTATATATATAAAAGCCGACTCTCTTTTAGGAACATCATGTATACGTATACGTATACACTTACTATACAACACTTATAAAACACGTGAGTATGGTAGTATGGTGTTTATGGTAGCTGTATACGTTCACGTTTCATTAAAACTTTTCACTATTTCGTTTTCACGGGGACATAAGTACTCATTTTTCTTCTGTCGCAAAAGTACTATATCTTTTTCGCACGAAGTACTTGTCTCGTTCGATTCATTTTAAATGCAACACGAGACCTACCCAAAGAGACATTTATTTCTTTCTTTCTTTCTTCTCTTTCTTTTCTTACTTTTTTTTTTCTTTTCTTTTTTCTTTCAGAGGCGACAGTACGGCGACCACGACATTTATTGAATTTTTACTTCTTCTTTATTACTTTTTTATTTTTTTCTTCTTTATTTCTCTTATTCATTCATTCATTCACTAACTTTACTTAGGAACTTATCAATATTATTTTTGTATTTATTTAATTAATATTAATTGATTGATACTTTAATTATTACTTCATCTGAATTTTCATAATCTTTAATTTTTGAAATTACATAGAAATTTTTATTGGGTTGTTTTAAACGAATTAATTATTTTTTTTTTTATTGTTTGACGTTTATATATATGTATATATATATATATATATGAAATGAAAGAAATTTATTGACCGAACACTCAAATTCCTTCCTGAAGACTCTTGTCCTCATTTTCGAAGAAATAAGAACGACCAAAAGGGCGAAATGAGAAGAAAAAACAAACAAACAAACAAAAATAATAATAATAATAAGTTAGTTTATGCGTTAAAAATAGAAGTAGAAAAAGATGAAAAAAAAAAACAAGAAGAGAGAAAAATCTTACGAAAAAGGATTAAAAGGGTCAACAACAGCAACACGGCCAAAATACAAAAAAGAAATTTGACAGAGTAAAACCCGTTTTCTTTTTTTCTTACTATTTTTTTTTTTTTTAATATAATTTCCTATAAAATTAATACTTTAAATAATGAAAATAATATAAATAAAATAATTGAATTAGTCATGCTTCGCTGTGGCTCACAATCAGTCCGATACAAACGTCTAATAATCATGACTCTTTGGTAATAAACAAATAATTAGCAATAAAATAATATTGCGATTGTTAATTGAGATATAAACTATCCTATCTTTCAAGTTGGATGAAACTGCACAGAGTGTACAAAATTTGATTAAAATCGGTTCAGTAGTTTAAGAGTCTATTGCGGACAAACAACGTGACAAGTAATTTATATATATATATATATATATATATATATATATATATATATTATTTAAATGACGAGAACAATGGCGGGATTTGGTATTTGCGGCAATGAACTTTCGAGTTTCTAATACCAGTTAATAATAATATTATTTAAATATTATTTTTAAATATTATTTTTAAATATTATAATAAATATTATTTAAATATTATTTTTAAATATTATTTTTAAATATATTATATTTAAGTATTATATTAAATATTATTTGTAAATTTTATTTTTGAATATTGTATGAATATTATTTTTAAATATTATTTTTGAATATTATTATATATAAATACATATACACAAAAACACGTAGGACACACACACACACATATGTTATTTATATTTATTATTTATATATAAGATAGGACTTGTGATAGGATACGACATGATAGGATATGAGATAAGATATAAATTTATAATACATAAGATAAAATATGCTACACACACACACACATATACACACACATACACACACAGAATATGATATAAGTTATATGATAAGATGGAATATGGAATATATGTATTAGATAAGTTATGATGTAAGATATGGTGGGTGGTAGGTGGATAACCTTCTATAACTCGGTTAATACCAATTTTTTTTTTTTTTTTTAATATAAACAGATTTAATTTAAAAACATTAATACAATTGCAAATGAAAAATATCTTTTCTTTTTTATTTTTAATTTAATTTTATTAGAAATAATTTAATAATCAATTGTATTAATCAACTAACTGTATACATATATACATATATATATATAATATGAATTTATGAATGAAAGATAGAAAATGAATTTTTTTTCTGTATTTTTGTTTTTGTTTTCGTTTTTTCAAACAAATATCGTCAATTAAAATTTAATTCAAACTGAGATTATTAAGTTAACAGGATTGAGGATTAAAATGAGGTATTTAATGATAACAAAAAAAAATCGTGTCTTTTTGAATGATATCAACGATTAGGATGAAGATAAACTGTAAATCTGTAAATAATGAACTTATTACTTCGAATGGCTTAAACGTTCTTACATAAATTTACAAGGGAATTTATAATGCGATTCACCACGAGCTAAAGCTGCTAAAGCTCCTCGTATTTATACAGTTTACCAAGGCAATGTGATTACAAGACCATTGACGTCGTTGAAATATCTCACGCGAACCTATTTACCTACTTTACAGGTACACGCGATTTTACCTGTATTATTGTATTTTTTTTTTCTTCAACAATTTAAATTTTATAAATCTTAATTGTCATTCACGTTATCTCTTTTTAGTTTTTTTTTTTTTTTTCAATTTGTGTTTACCATTAAAAAAAAAAAAAAAAAAAAATGTTATACAGTTTTGTTATTTCTATTATAAATTAATTCTTATTAGAAGAAGTAGAATATATTTTTGATAAACAATATTGAAAATTATTTTGTTATTGCATGACAATTTTTAACTGTATTTTTATTTTTATTTTTTTCTTTTTTTGTATATTTTATTATTAAACTAAAGTTTATGTAATTCAATATATTATTGATATATTTGTTTAAAAAAAAAAAACCATAGCAGAAAACGTTATTTTCATAGCTAATGGAATATCTTTCAATAACAGTGTTTTTTTTTTTAAATACATCTCGAGAAATAGAAAGAGATATTTCTTTGGTATTTTCCTTAGTTAGTATTGGTTTATTTTCCACACTTATAAAAGAGAAAGAGAGCGAGAGAGCGAGAGAGAGAGAGAGATAGTTTAGAAATGGCAAGGACTTTGTGGGTTGTTGTTTCATCGTGGGTGAAAGATTCTTCATGTTCGTTTCGTAAATCGGTTTTAATTGCAATATAGCAACTACTACTATTACAAAACATACCACCATACCACCATTATCATTTTTATAGTATTATATATATATATTCGAGATAAATTGTTAAAAGATATAAAAGATAGAAAATTGTTATCCTATTCCATCTTATTCTTTTGAAATATGAAAAACAGCACCATTTTACTTCAAGTTCGTTTATTTCTTGTTACTTCTTTACTACTTTCTCATTTCCTACTTATAAAATAGTTTGAACTTGCTTTACCCCTTAACCCTGCCCCCACATCATTCCACCCTTGCTTCTTTTACCTTCTTGAAAAGGTTAAGTTTCCAAGAAGTTGAAGTTATTCCCAAAAGACATTCTCTTCTTCTGCTATGCTATTATCTATTACTCGAATATTCGAATTTTCTTGACAACGAACCATGGGATTCAAGTTTTCCTACACTTTACTACATATTTTGTATATTTATTACAATCGGTCTGATACACACGTCTTTAAGTCAACGAATTACTTTATACCGTCATCTGTTAGAATCTTATCGAACTAACAGAGATAATCATGACTCTTTGTTAATAAACAAATAATATTGCAATTATAAATTGAGATTATAAACGATCCTATCTTTCAAGTTGGATGAAATTGCACAGAGTGTGCAAAATTTGATTAAAATCAGTTCAGTAGTTTAAGAGTCTATTGCGGACAAACAACGTGACACGTCCCAGTGTCGAAAGTCGTGCGGAATGCAAAGGGTTAATTTATTATTACACGTCACATTGTTTGTCCGCGATGAACTCCTAAACTATTGAACCGATTTTAATCAAATTTTGCCATACTGTGTGCAGTTTTATGCAACTTAAAAGATAGGATAGTTTATATCTCAATTTATAATCGTAATATTATTTGTTTATTAACAAAGAGTCATGATTATTAGACGTGTGTATCAGACTGATTGTGAGCCACAGTAAAGCGTGACGGGGTACCCCTAGTATTATATAAAACATATAATCATTTTATTCTTATTGTACTAAGTTAAAGAATTTCTTTTTCAATATCGACAAAAATACATCTCGAATTTTTAAGATGAACATATTTCTATTTTCAATTATTCTTTTTTTTTTTTTGTTTGTCAAGAAATTTCATGGATGAAAAAGAAAATGTAAAAGAATATTATATAGATTTATGAAAGATCGAATTGGAATGATGGTGTAGTGGTTGTAGTAATGGGTTCTCACAATGCATTGAAAACTCGAACTCTCGTAGTCCTTTCGAATGAAATTCCATGGATAAATGGACACGACAAGAGAACGAAGATGGATATGTAAATGTAGGAATATGAAAGAGAGAGAGAGTGAGAGAGTGAGAGAGACATATGAAAATCCATCATAAATCCCGACTAACGTGTTAAATCGCAAATTATCGATTTATCGTAAGCTAATAATACGCAAATCTGGTTAGTTTGAACTATTTCAACCTAAATCGATGTGTTAAGTCTACGAATAATATATCCCATAATAGTATTAACACTATAAATAAATAATATCCACATATATATATATAAATAATAAATATATATATTACACAGAATATATAGTTATACACTCGAGTTAAATTATGATAGTAGGTAGAGTTAAAATAAAATTAAAAATTTATCAGTAATATTATTTTGAATAAAAATAAAAAAAAATAAAATAAAATAAAATTATAATTATAATCAAATTTAAATTAGAATAAAAATTATATAATACAAAATTTACTATTTTATATATATAAAAATAATAAATATATATATTACACACAATATATAGTTATACACTCGAGTCAAATTATGATAGTAGATAGAGTTAAAATAAAATTTAAAAAAATACATATACACATATACATATATAAAACAAAAGGCAAAAAATTGCAAAAAATTGCAAAAACAAAAAAAAAAAAGAAACAAATAAATAAATTCTTACCTTCTCTCGCTTTGAGGTAAACAGTGTTGGCCACGATGTTCTCCAACTCCATCAATTCCAGCTTGATCGAGTTTTCGCGACCGAATCAGAAGCGAGAAAGATGAGCTACAATAAGCTCGGTGATGCTGCTGCTGCTGCTGCTGATATGAAGATTGTTGAAAAGGTTGATGATAACGAGGATCGTGAAACGCTAAAAGTAGTACCACCAATGGTACTACTATAAGCGTTATTAATACTCGAACAACAACGTATACTTTTTTCAATTCTTCTTTCAAATATTTAATTCTTCTCGTGAAGAAGATTTTCACCACCCCGTCGGGTTCGGCCAACCTAATTCCCATCTGCGGTGTTCCAACGATGTAATATATTCGAACAGGAATCAATGACCTTGACTTAGCACACCTTCTTCTTCTTCTTCTTCTTCTTCTTCTACTTCTACTTCTACTTCTTCTTCTTTTCGTTTTATCTTCTGTTTTTTATTTTGTTCACCAAAAGATTTGTTTTTTTTTTTTTTCTTTTTTTTTTTTTTTGGTTTATAATAAAAGATGATAGACAAAGAATAAGATGAAGAAGAATAAAAATAAAAATAAGAATAAGAAGAAGAAGTGAAAGGAAGGATAAAATGAGAAAGAAAAAGATAAAGATAAAGATAAAAGAGAAAGAAAGAAAGAAAGTAAGAAAAAAAGAAAAGTAAAGTTCGTCAACCTGTGATATTCAAGGCCGATTTATATCCAACATGGATTATCATCATCATCATCATCATCCACTCATAACACATTTCTTAATATATTATATACTAATATCAAAAGTTTGAAATTTTCTGGAATTTTCGTTTATTACGATAAAGTATCAAATGATCCTGATTGTAATTAATTATTAATTCGTAATAATAATAATAATTATTATTTATTTTGATTTGACTCGATGTTGTTTCATCATCGGATTTTCTCGTTCGCCTCATGGATCAATTAGTTGATCAATGATCAATTCAAATTAATATAAATTGAGATTATAAACTATCCTATCTTTCAAATTAGATGAAATTACACACAGTGTGTTAAATTTGATTAAAATCGGTTCAATAATTTAGGAGTCCATTGCGGACAAACAACGTAACGTGACCTGACACGTCATTTATATTTAATTAAAGAAAAAGATTTAGAAGATTAAGATAAAAATTTTTTTACTAAATGACAAAGAAGAAGAAGAAGAAGAAGAAGAAGAAGGAAGAGAATGAAATAAAATAAAATATTGCAAATAAATTAAATAAAAAAAAAAACAATAACAACAACAAAACACACCAAACAAACAAACAAATTCACCGACAATATTTCATCGTACTTTTGATCTTTCTCTTTCCATCTATCTATCTATTTCTTTCTTCTTTTTTTGTTTTTTATTTATTTAATTCGTTTTCCTTTTTCTTTTTCGTGAAGGTTGAAAAAGATTCTGATGTTGGTATGCCCACGCAAAAAAAAAAAAAAAACACTTGTGAATTCTTATTGGTTAGATGATATCGTAGAAGAAGAAGATTTCTTCTTCTTCTTCTTCTTCTTCTTCTCGAAGTTCACGTCAAGTTTTTTCTTCTTTCTTTTTATTTGTATTTTTTTTTTTTTATTTATTTATTTTTTTCTCTTTAGTTTCTCTTTCTTTCTTTCTTTCTTTCTTTCTCTTTCTCACTTTTGTTTGTTAGATATCATCTTCAACAACGTGTATCCACGATACCAACTAGGATCCTTTTTTTTTTGTTTGTTTTATAAATGCACACCCCTTTTGTACACAACTTTATCGTGTGTTGTTCATCGTTTAAACTGAAATTTTTATTGATTTTCGTTCGTTGTTTCACAATTTTATTAGAAATTTATTAAAAATGATTTCTATTTGATATTTTACAACCCCTTTCTTTTCTTCTCTCTCTCTCTCTCTCTCTCTCTCGCTTTCTT